GAAATTTAGAGTATGGCAACAAATGAGAAATTAACAAAATAAATTAAATTTTAAAAAGGGATGATTAAAGCAAACAATTATAATGAAATTTAGAGTATGGCAACAAATGAGAAATTAACAAAATAAATTAAATTTTAAAAAGGGATGATTAAAGCAAACAATTATAATGAAATTTGGGTGGATTTCATAAAACAGTGTTGGTGGAAGTCAAAGGGAATAAACCTACTCAAGAATATGTGTTGTTTTGGAGGGGATAAGGGCACAATTGGAATATATTGTATATCTTTTAGTTGTTATAGAAGAAGAAATATAAGAAAAAAAGGTCTCAAATGTGTGTGTGTATGTGTGCACTGTAATATTTGTATTTTTTCCTTTTTTAAATTTAGATGTATGTACTATGCATTATTTGTATTTAAAATAAAAGAAATATTAAAAAAAGAAATAGGGATTCCTGCAGTCAGTTATGTTTTGTTTTTCTTACTATAACCTTATTTACTCTTAGGAGCCTATGGGCAGATAATCTCCTTTTCTCTAACAGCAGTGGCCTGATCATTTTAAGCCATAATATAGCTTTTCAAACTGCCATCTGATAGTAGACCATCCTGGCTTATTTTTTTGCAGATTGTGTGAATTGTATTTATTTTGGCTTCTCTGAAACGCATTACTTTTCATTCATTTCTTTAGACGTGGCAAACTGCAAAGAGAATCTGACTTCATGTCTAGTGTGGACAGTAGCTGGATCTCCTGGGGCGTGGGAGTCTTCATTTTGAAACCCCTGAAGTGGACATTGTCTAGCGTATTAGGTGACAGCAAAATGCCGGAGGAAGAGGAGATCCTGATTTATGTGGAGATTCTTAAGGTAACGTTGATGATTCATATTTGTGGATCAGATATTGTGAGTGAATTGGGAAGGCAGATCTTTTTTTCTTACTGCTTTTGGTAAGATTTATTTCCTGTTCAAAATAGATCTCCCTTCCCCTTTTCCATTGCTGCACTCTGTTCCAGGAAGCCCTTCCTGGAGGGACTTGTCTGCCATCTAACACTAGGCTGTTTTGGGAGCCAACAAGTAATTTATATAAGAGTTTCCCAATTATTATTATTTTTTAAATAGTCCTATTGATAATGTTTTGTTGGTCTTTATTGTGATTGTCACACTGTATTTTGGTATTACTGTGTTTCTGCAACTATGGGTTTTCTCCATGCTGACTTTTTAGCTGCTTATATATTGTTTGATATTTTTACACTATTTGAACTAAGTTGCAACCAGTTCAGAGAAGACGGTCTTAAGTGTAGGGGTGGCTCAGTGGCTAAGACGCTGAGCTTGTCGATCAGAAAGGTTGGCAGTTCAAATCCCTAGCGCTGCGTAACTGAGCGAGCTCCCGTTACTTGTCCCAGCTTCTGCCAATCTAGAAGTTTGAAAGCATATTAAAAAATGCAAATAGAAAAATAGGAACAACCTTTGGTGGGAAGATAATAGCATTCCATGCATCTTCGGTGTTTAGTTATGCCAGCCACATGACCATGGAGATGTCACTAGCACATATATGTGAGGGGAACCTTTAGCTTTAAGTGTACAATTCATGGTACACATGGCCAACCTACGCAGGCAAGCTATACTACAAACACAGCCTCTTTTTACGCATTTTTTTTTTTAATATAGAGTGGTCTTAAGAATGAATATATTTATTTGAGATTTCCAGTGGCATGTTATTTTATATCTTATGTAAACAGAGGGAAACAACTCATTTCCTGTTGTCAATGAGATTCTCTCAAGGACTTTCTTTACTCAATAAATTATATACTTGCAGATTGGCAGAAAGTTGAGGGGGGACTGTCAGAATTCTCTCTAATTGAATAGGTTAACATGCCAGAACATCTCTCTCCAGTTTTGCAAAACAAAACCTATGGGTTTTTTTTTTATATTGCATTGAGAATGTATTTCTTTGCTTTCCACTCTAAGCAGCTAGGTGTGCCCTCTGAAGACACTGGGCATTCTGTGTCTATTGAGATGAAGATTCCACATTCCAGTCCTCATTCCACTCTTTTTATCCCTTCTGTCCAAACATGTTGTGAAATGTGGGATTCCTTCTTAGTTTTGGCATGAGGGCTGAAGCTGGCAAGGTTGGAAGCCGGGAGCCCGAGACCAGGCAGGGCAATTATCAAAACATTCTGCCACAGCCTTCCCGCCCTTAAGGTTGAGAAATGAATAACAAGTATTATTTTACTTTGTAAGGGCAGGAGAAAAAGATAAGATTTAATAGGTGAATTAATAATTAGTCAAGTTTAATTCTTAGATCCTGAATAGTTTATCTTCTTTGCAGTTACCTGGACCCCTTCCAGTCCGGCTTCAGACCTGGTTACAGCACAGAAACCGCTTTGGTCGCATTGACCGATGAT